TGACATGGACAGAACATCTTACCACTTTCCTACGTGAGTGGTGTAGAATCTGCTTGATGCATAAACGTCTCCAACCCTTCGAGAAATTCTTTCGTCACCCACCCGTTATTATCTCTATGTGAATACATCCACTTCCGCAACTCGAAAATATTTCCCGGACCGGACATTTTTTTTGTGTTTGATCAAGCTTATAGCTTATTTTTTTGGTGTGTTTCAAATGAATCACATATGGTGGTATTTATAGAAATTTTCGAATCTGAGAATTTACTAGGAAATTGCTAGGAAAAGTAGGTACAAAACACGTTATTGATTTAAATTCGATATTTTCTATCCAGTTCCTCTTAATTTCGTAGTAACAAATCCATTCCTCTTAATTTCGTAGTAAAGAATTACTAGGACTTTACGAGGAAAGGAATTACTATGAGTTTACGAGGAAAATATCTTATTCCTCGTAAGGGCCACGTAAGTTTACTACGAGTTCACGAACTCGAGGAAACTGTTTTCTCGTAAGTATACGAGAACTTTACGAGGAAAAGTGGTTTCCTCGTAAACTCGAAGTAAACACGTAGTATTTTTACGAGGAATTATTTTCCTAGTAAAGTTTCCTAGTAAAGGCTTAGTTTTCTTGTAGTGGTAAGGGGGTGAATGTTGGATAATTCCAAGCTTGTGGAAACTTGACATATTATTGGATGTTTAATATGTTAAGAGATAAACACGATAATGAAATCTAGAAATAGAAAAAAATAAGTTTTCTATTAGATTAGGTTTGTGTTTTTCATATCCCACATGTTACAAGGAATTGTCTTGCATATAAATAGAGATCTATGGAGAGGTGTTCCATAAGATCTAAGAGAAACATTGAGTGCTTTAGTTATGAGTAGTTTTTAAAGCTAATAAAAAAAGTTGTTCTTATTATTCTTTGTTACTAGAGATTTGACTTTTTCTTCAACTATTTTCTCGAGTTTTTAAGGTCGGTGTAATACTTCAACCATTTCCGAACACCTTTATATATCTTAATGTTGTATTACACCCACCTTAAAAACTAGAGAAAGTACCATAAAATCTACAACGGAGTACTCTTATTTTCGATGTTACTGGGAGCTCTGGATCACTAAGGGAAATAGATTCCCAGTGCTCAAGAATATTAGTAGCCCAATCAAGCTTGTCGAATTGTTCGTCATTATTCAACTGAAGGGAAGCAATCAAGGATAGGAATCTCTCTGTATGTTGATAGCCTGAAGAAGATGGACTTAGTTATTATGATGGTCGCAGATCTGTTAAGTCGTAAAGTAGCCAAACTTAAAAGGCATGGGTAAACGAGCAGAACAACACCAACCAACAATCAAATTTTTCTTTACCAAATGGCACAAGTATCACCTTGTAGTTACTGAAGTTAAGCCCTAAGATATTGAACATTGAACATTAATGATCGGATGAAGATGGAACGGCAAAGACAACCCCAAATAGCTTCAGGTTAGAAAGATGCGTCACTGCTGAAACTGGTCCAATTCCAGATATCATCAAGTCTATCTGAACCAAGAAATCAAGTTATGTAACGCTAAACCTGTAAAAAAGGCAAAATCAGCTATGTCAAGCACGACAAAGATCAGATACATACTTAATTGCCGATCCGCTCTCTGCTACTTTTTTTCTCCAAGAGCTACTCTCACCTCCTCGCTTGAAGAAGATTGTTTCAGTTCTTCATCCAGAATAAAACCAAATCTTGCACCTGCCATTTCAGTAGATTAACCGCATAACTCAAATAAAGGCTCTCAAATGGACAATGTTATGACATAAAATGAAAGTAAGAACTGAGTACCAAATCGAATAGCCCGGAGGACTCGCAAAGGATAATCTAGAAACGTAGATTTTGCAGGAAAATGTATATTATTCTTCACACTATAATTAATGGAACTGAATGATTAACTTTGGCAACAATCATATGATCATTTAAACACAATCTCGGGTGATAGAAATATAGATAATACAATTTTTCAAAATATGGTAACCAAATTTGACTCATGATTAAGATTATGGTCAAGTGGTACGGAGGAGGGGTTGAGACACTAACATGTTTCAACTTCGATTCACCTGCTATGCGAAACTAAATCACAATTATTCATGGTCACCTAATACGGATATGGGTTCATGCTTTCGAGCCTATTTGAATACCCAGAGAGAGGGTTTACCCGTGGGCTGCACCTCCTTTTGAATTAGACTAATCCTCCCGTGATTTTAAATTAATCACAAAACTTTTATTTTAAATTAATCATATTTAACAAATTTATTGGTGACTGAAAAGAATTAATTTTCAATATTTATTTTTGTTGCTCATGTTAGAAAGCACATGTTTGCAAATGTTTTAATTCATGTAACTATTTTTGTATTTTTATTAGAAAAATAAACAAAATATTAATAAACTATTTATATCCAGTAAATAAATAATTTATTTTCTCAATTTTATACATTTATTTTTAGATTTTTAGTTATTTAAATTTTTTGTTTTATAAATAATTATTTCTTTTCTAGTAGTTGACCCGTGATTTGCATGAATTTTTTTCTATTAGATATTTTGTTTAACCCTGGTTTTTATTTTGAAATATTTTATTACAATTATATATGAATTATTTTATTTAATTACTATTTGTATCAGTTTCCATTAAAATTTGTTTAATGCTTTGATATTCGATCTTACTCTCGTTGCAAAAATTTAACTTCATAATAAAATTATTGATATACATTAGTGAGACTAAGACTATTTTTATTTTGGAACTATATATTTTTTGGTGCATTTGTCTTCATTTAGATTATACAGTTTGATTTCTACAATTATTTTTATCTTATTTTATATATCGTCTCTTTTTGTGTGTTTACAAATAGTCGAAATTTAGTTTTCATGTCAATATTAAATTTATGCTTGAATATTTTATGGAACTCATACGATTTCTCTTTTATAACATTTATTTAGATATACAATAATCTTTGATCTCTTATTCTCATAAGAAAAGTTTTTTATCGCCTATTTATTATTTTTTAATCTGTTATATATCATTTTATGTTTTCACTAATTGTTATTGATGTCTTCATTTTAATTATGTATTGTTTTTGGCTATAAGTTTTCGTTAATTTCTTGTTAACAATTAGGTATCAAGTTTTATCTCAATGTGTTTGTTAGCTGTTAATTTCCCCAAATTTAAAAGTTAGTAATGAACACACAATGCCTAATACTTATAAGTATAACTTAAGATTCCGGTAATATCATATTTATACTTTAGACCAGGGTATAAATCTGAAAAGTTCAGTAGGTATGAATCTAATAAATGTTGTTTTCTTAACTACAGAGGTTCCATTATTGAACCGAATCGGGAAAGGAGCATCCAACATCCGGAAATTGGGGGGGGGGGGGTTGTGCGTTACATTGAACCCGCTCAACTTGTAGATTGGCCCTTTGCTGAGACGCTGCATGAACATGAATTGACAGTTCACATTAACAAAACCTTGAATAACCGTCGACTGTTAGAAATGACAAATTATTTTTTTTAGACAATCATAATGGAACCAATCGTCAATAGCGTTAATCGGAAAGGAGATGCTTACATTCTCGTTGATGAGGAGCATGTCTAGACTCATGAGCTCACCGCCTTTCCTCACATTTCTGGCCTCCCAAAACCTCAGTAAATGAACCTCAATGGTGTTGGAGTAGTGCCCGACTTTCAAATCGGCAAGAAGGATGTAATAAATCACCATTGTAGCAATCGGAAAGTTGAACAAATTTTTCTTCTAATGATCGTTAAAACTGTGATGTTCATGTCTGCAAAAGGGATATAAACTCACACCTCTACATGGTTATTTTCGGGATGCGATAAGGTGGTTTCAATGATCTAGAATGGGTTAATCCCTTATAAAATGAGAAGAAAGAAAGTGCGAATCAAGCGTGCGTTGAGACATTACGGAGAGTCGATAATTTATTCTGATATCTAAAACCCTCGTCGGCTGATCTACGGATCTCAACAAAGATGACAAACAAACTTATAATATTAAAGGATCTCTATAATCCGAAAGTTTAAACACAATCTACAAAAGTAAAAATTCAAAACAAATATGCATTTTACCAATAATATAATTTTTTTCTAAAGCCCAAAAAAATAGTTTCTTAAACTTTTATGAGGTGACTCATGGTATTTTTTGCCTCTCATGAAAAAAGCTCTTTACTATATAAGATACTAGGATCAGGTCTGCCCTACGGACATGTTATCGACCGAAAAATTATATATACTTTTATATTATAATGTTAAGTATTTCAAGACGTTCATCTTATTTTAAATTAAATTGATCTTAATATTCACTGTGTATAATTTGTTATTATATTTATATATTATTTTTATTTTCCAATTAAAAAAAATATGCACGAATACGTTATAGTTTCATATGTTTTTAGTGACTAGCCTTTGGATGTCAAAAAAGTTATGATAATTAAGATAGTAAGTAGAATAGAGATTTTAGTATATATAAACATGGATAACATTTTCATTCTTATACCTTTTCTTAATACATTGATAATTTATTTCCAATGTGCAAGTAGAATACATACCAACTATAGAGGTAAAAATACTTCAAATTACAATTTTAATACAAAGCTCCAATTAAATATGTAACTAAAATACTTAAAATTGCAATTATATATTTGAATATATATATATATTTTTGTTGAATAAATTCTAATATTTTGGTTGAGTGTAATGGCATATCTCCATCTTGAGGGTCTTAGGCCGGAAAAAATAACTTTGATTGTTTTTAAAAACTTGTGGGTGCTATTAATATTGCCTTACCGTATGTGTGCAAAGCAAAAAAAAAAATCCTCTCTAATTGCTTAAACCAGTACACACATGATTAGAAATAACAATTCAAACTTTCTTTGGAGTTTTAATTTAGTTGATAAGGTTTCTAAGGTCTTCATTAGCTAAGCAAATGCAGAGTCTCGTTTCTTTGTTAAGGATGTTATGAAACTGGTATGGATGTGCCCATTAGGACAGAGATAGTAGACAAAACAAAGAATGTTATAGTACACCACTATTCAATGCCGCAGAAACCAAGGAATCAACAACAGATTGCCTTAGTCTTATTATATCTATAGAGTCAAAATATTTTTTTGTAAAAAAATGTGGTTAAATCATTAGAGTTGCTCTATAAAATACTCCCTCCGTTTCACATTAAGTGTCGTTGTAGAGAATTTTTTGCGTTACAAAATAAGTGTCGTTGTAGAGAATTTTTTTGCGTTACAAAATAAGTGTCGTTTTCGGTTTTCAATGCAAAATTTATTAATATTATTATGTAATTTTTTTTCTTTTGGTTAAAATATGGTTAGGTATATGGGTAACTATGTTTTTATATAGAAAATATGTAAAATTAATTGTTTTCTTAATCTGTATGCACATCAGTAGTAGAATGACACTTATAATGAAACAAAAGGAGTATAAACTTATTGAGTCTTGAAGAAAAGGAGCGTAGTGTGTAATGTATGATGTTTTTGGTATGGGTATAGTGAAGAAAATATGATTGAGACACCATATGAGAAAGATGTCACAACCCCAATTCAAGCTCTCTTAACCATGACTTGTCCCTACTTACCTTCTTCTGTGTAAATTAGAATTTTCCCACAAAGTCTCTGTCTCCACTTCAAAACAAAAACTGAGTCCACCAATAATCTATCCCTCTCTGTCTTCTGCTCAGCATCTATGATCAACGAAGCAAACTTGTGTTTACTCTTTTTTTTTTTTTTCATAATGAGAGTACAAAATGATTTGCATTCAACGTGTTTTTTTTTTGTTTTACAGAAAACAATGACAGATTCTACAATAAATTTGTTTCTCTCTACTCTTGAAAACACTTCATATCCCCATCTACTTTTGTTTCACCTGCAACCTAATACAAACCACTCCACCTAACAGTTTGGTCTTGGGGTGTACCAAACCTGCACAAAAAGCTGTGTTAAAGAAAAACTATGGAACAGATGCTGGCATGTAAGTCTCTTCAGGGTGGAAGTAAACCATTGGTCCATAATGCTGATTAAGGGTATGGACCTGGTCAAGATTCGGAATAACTCGCATTGCTCTGTTACCAACCGGAGAATTATGCGACCATAAATGACCAAGGAAATGGAAACCTTCTGGTATCCCTACAGGTATGTAAACAGAGGCACATCTGGCACATTTCCAAAAAAAAATCGAACTCAGGGCTTTTCACAACTTCGGTATCTCTGGTAAATATCTTTTCTATAGCAAAATCTATGGCTGAAACAAAGAGGAACAAATTTTAAAGACACGGATTTCTAATTATCACGAAGTTATCAGTAAGAAGGGAATTTACATATGCCAAATTGAAAAACAAAACATACTTTAAGCGTATTTACATTTCCAAAAACCAGTAGCAAGACGACTGATAGTTTGACTACAGACAGATCAAAAACTGAACCAAATCTTAATATATATCTTTCAAGTATATGAGTAATAATAATGGTGCAAATAACCTTCAAAACAATGTGTATGATGTTGACTTTGTTTGTGAAGTTTTTCTCTCAACTTTACCATGCATTAGATTTCAAAAGTACATCAGATCAAATCAATTCAATCCAATACAGATTAGATCACTCACTCACTCACTTTAGCTTTCAGATCTGATTGGTAATCAAATTTCCAATCACTGAAATAGGAAACGAAGGGGAACGGCTCTGACCTAGGAAATCAAGCCAATCCGAATAAGAAGCTGAACGACGCAAGGAACATTTTTCGTGGGTTGAAGCCATTCCGCCGAGGAACACGTGATGATCCATAGAACAATGGGTAACCGATAGTCGAGTTCGCCACTCCATTGACAGAAGAAAGTAAAACAGTCGAGGCAGAAAGGAAGAAGGTCATGAAAAAAAAAAACTCTCCTACTTACATAAAAACTTTTGTCTATATACTCAATCAGAATGATAAAGATGCATTGAAGACTTTGAATTTCATGGAGTGGAAGTCGTTGATTGATTTTCATTACTGCATACGTTTCTTGATGAGAAAGAGAACTAGAAGGGCAAGGGTTTCGAAGTGTATGACGTGGAAACATGAGGGAGTGTGCAAATATGATGAACCCTAGATGTGAAGTCGCCATTTGTGTGGAAGATATGCCAAACTCCATTAATGGCGATGGATTCTTCTGACTATGAACCCTAGATGACGAAGTCATATTTAAAAAAAAATATGAACGAACCTTAGATCTCGTGAAGAATTTCTTTTCAGTTGGCTGTTTTTTTTTTTTGCTTTCTTAAATCTAATAACAAATGAGCAAGCCCAAACAAAAAGTATGCGAAGGCCCATAAACAATCAAAACAAGACTTGTTACACGTGGAAATTTATCCTCTCCTTATTTGCTGAAGGAGGAGGGAGAGAACTGTACTTTATATATATAACCAAATAAATACCTGCTATCAATACTAACATATCCTAAAATTATTATTAGATTATTAATAGATTTTTTTGTTGCCACAGAGAGAAAAAAGCTATTTTATTATAATAGATGTGTAAATCTATAAACTAATAATAATAAATTTAAAAATTCTAAGAGCATACGCGTTGGTGTTACTCTAAATAAAGTCCTTAGCATTATTAAACTTTTTTTTTGAATAATTAAGGATTCTAATCTAAATTTTAGGTCTAATGGTGTTTTCCAATTAGGAGTCCTTAAGAATAAAAAAAATAAAAAAATATAAAATAAGTGAAATTAAAATTTTATTTATTTCATGATTAAATATAAAAATACAATAATTATTTAAAACATATTTAAATATAAAAATACAACTTATTAATATTCATCACCAAATTTGTTCCAAATATTTTCAATTAAATCAACTTTTAATTGTTCACGTATACGCCTATCATGCACATGAATCCGAATGCCAATCATATTACCGACATTTGTAGGCGTGTCGGCACTATAGGACATATCCACCTGAGAACTTCTGCTTACGTCTCCTTCTTCAAATTCACATATATCGTACTAAATGTATCCATCTCGTTCATTTCGACTATCATATTGTGCAGTACGATACACACTCTCATAATCTTCTCTATCTTTTCCTTTTCCAATGATAGAGCCAGGTTTTTCACAATCGCAAAGCAAGCTTCCAATACTCGAAAAGCCCGCTCCATATCTTTTCGGGTTGCTTCTTGAACTTTAACAAATAACTCTGCTTTAAGACCTTGAGGGATTGAGATGGATTGGATAAATGTTGACCATTTTGGATATATACCATCCGTGAGATAGTACGCCAAATCATACTGGTGTCCGTTGACCACGTACTGTACCCTTGGAGCTTGACCTTGTAAAATGTCATCAAAAATAGGTGACCGATCAAAGACATTAATATTGTTTAAGGTACCTAGAGGACCCAAAAAAGCGTGCCATATCCAAAGATCTTGTGAAGCTACAGCCTCTAAGACAATTGTCGGCTTTCCTGATCCATGTGTGTACTGCCCTTTCCAAGCGGTTGGAAAATTTTTCCACTCCCAATGCATACAGTCGATGCTTCCATCATCTTAGGAAATCCACGTATCTCTCCAATATCGAGTAGTCATTGAAGATCCTCTCATGTGGGTCTTCGTATATACTCATCTCCAAACAATTGTATTATTCCTCTAGTGAAATTATGTAAACGCAAAAGTGATGTGTTCTCACCAAGTCGGAGATACTCGTCAACCGTGTCAACCGCAGAACCATAAGCAAGCAGACAAATTGCTGCCGTACATTTTTGTAGTAGAGAAAGACCAAACCTCCCGGTTGCATCTCTTCTTTGTTGAAAGAATGGAACGTTCTCTGAGAGGGCATGGATAATACACATGAATAATTCTTTGTTCATACGGAAACGGCGTCTAAATATATGGGCCGGAAATGTTGAATCTTCGCTGAAGTAGTCATTCCATAAACGGTCGTGTCCTATTTCACGGTCTCGTTTTATATAAGCATGTTTCCCTTGCTTATTGTGGTAGGACTCCACTATGTTGTCGTATGTTTCTTCTAAGATATCGTCGAAAACGTCGTACAATCTTTGTTTGAGTTCATCAGATGAAGATGATGACACATTTTGTGTGTTCACTTGCTAATCCTTCATTGAAACAATTATTGCAAAATATTAAAAATTTTAGACAACCAATAATATCATTTAAAAGAATTATTGCATGCTGAACTAGTTTTGATGACAAATATCCAATTTTTTAAAATATTAGATATTTTACAATTTTTACATAACCTTTTAGATAACCAATTTTTACAATTTTTAGATAACCAATAATTTTCAGATATTTTACAATTTTTAGATAACCAATTTTTAGATAACCAGTTTTTACAATTTTTAGATAACCAATTTTTAATCAACATTACTAGTATTACAGATTACAAATCACAACTTAAATGGTTATATTACAAAAACATGTAAGTTTATATATGATCTAATATATACAAGGCTGTTCATATAACCAATTTTTAATCAACATTACTAGTATTACAGATTACAAATCACAACTTAAATGGTTATATTACAAATACATGTAAGTTTAATCGTATTACAAAACAAAATTCGAGTTGAATCGAAGCTAAGATCTTTAGTAGTTGTCATATCTTTAAATTAGTATATGTGTTCTGTTTGTTTTTTGATCTTTTTAACCACTCTTCTTCCTCTTACTAGCAGCTTTAGCTGCCTTGACTCCAACCGGTCTAGCCTCCGGTTCTCCCACTTCCTCTTCTCCATCGACCTCCAACACATTTTTGCGCTTGTCCTTGACACTGTCCTTAGGCATAAAGGTGGAGCACCATTTACTATCGTGTCTCAACTCCCTCCAGACATGTTCGAGGTTGAACTTGATGGAGTTGTCATTGTAGAAGAATTCAAGGGAAGCTTTCATCACATCATCATCGTTTTGACCACTTCTCTGGTCCCTCAGAGCCGCATCATAGCATCCAGAAAACTTGCAGACTTGCTCGTTAATCCTAGCCCACCTCTGCTTACACTGACCATGCTCTGTAGGTGTTGTCCCAACAAGGAGAGGGCTTGCATTGTAGTAGTGTACAATCCTCTTTCAGAAAGCTCCACCTTTCTGCTCATTGCTGACCACATGATCCTTACTGGTGTTAAGCCAAGCACCAATAAGGATTATATCCTCTTTGGGAGACCATTTCTTCCTCTCCTTGACAGTAGACACAAGGTCAACTGGAGATTGGCTATTGAGAAGGTTAACAAAACCCTGGTGGTATACATGGTTAGAGAATGCTATGTGTCACTCTACTACTAACACATAGCTTTAAGTAAACAATTTATTGATAAGAAACATTTAAAGCAATTTAAATCTGAGGAGTTAGGAAGGTAGAAAGCAAATCATTAGCATTTAACACCAATCAAATCTGAGGAGTTAGGAAGGTAGAAAGCAATTACACTAAATGACTTTTATATTTATTACATTTTCACTTTGATTTTCAGTTACTCCCGAGTTTAAACAATTTGAATTTCATATTTAAGTTCTGTTTTTTTTTATAACTTATATATAGTTAATCAATTTGTATAACTTTTACAACTACTATATGTTGAATATAGGTACATATATAACTACTATATATTTATTCAATTTGTATAAGTTTTTCACACAACTACATGTTTTTATTATTCAAAGAAAAGAGGCTATGAAGTTGTTTGTATAGTATCTTTACATACAGTGGCAAGGTCCGACACTCCCGTCTTAAGCCTTCAAAGCTGTTCCTAAACACACATTAGCAATTTTAAAAACAGTCAACAGTTTTTAAAAATGGGAGAAACCACATTCAAAAGCAGAAGGAGAGAAACTGACCCGGCAAAAACAGGACCAGCAGACCTATTAAAACTAATACACCACCCATTAGACAATCAAGCGATTCAAAGCCGTCTGTAACCCCAGATTTCTTCATAGATAACTCAGACACTGTCTTCTCTAGCTTAAGCTGCATCTTCTCACTCTCATACCTTTGTCCTTAAGCTGCCTAAGTTGTGTATGAAAGCAACTCATCTCCTCCATTACCGGAACTTCAATGTTCAAGCTACTCTCAGCTTCATCCGCATACAAGTCAACTTCTCCGGCGTACAAGTCAGCTTCTGCCGCGTACAAGTCAGCTTCTTCTTGAAGAAGCCAGGTTAAACTAACATCTGATGAAGACAGCTAGCTGTAGCTATAATCTTGTCCCATGTTTGGTTAACCTGAGAGAAGAAGATAAATCAAACGTTAATCATAATCTTACAAAAGAAGATAACTCTCAAAGTTAGACATGAAAAGATAAGAATTTGTTCTCCTATACAATAACAAACGTAAATCATAATCAAGAGAAGAATGTAAACAGAGTAACAAGATCATCACAGAGTCAGAGATCCCCAAATCGATTCAATCATGCCATTAAACAACAATAATCACAAAGTCAGAGATCCCCAAATTGATGAATCCCCAAATCGACTGAAACATAAAGCTTTCCGAAACCCTTATCAAAAGAAAAAAAAATCCCCAAATCGATGGAAACCAAAATCCCGAAATCGATTGAAACCGAAATCCCGAAATCGCTTGAAACATAAAGCTTTTGGAAACCCTAATCAAATAAAAGATCCTCAAATAGATGGAAACCAAAATCGTTTTGAAACCCTAAGCGTTTGAAACCAAAATCCCCAAATCGATTGAAAAAAAAACTTTTTGAAACCCTAACTTCTAACGGAAACATCTCCAAATCGATTGAAAACACAAAACGAACCCTAAATTGCCAGGAGAAGGTTCCGATTTACCTTGATTATCTGAGAGGAAAAAATTGCCTCTGATATTGCCAAGAGCTTTTGTTTTTTCGTGAAACAAAGAGAATGAATTTTTTTTCAACAAACTGAAACACAATTCGAGTACGAACCTACCACACTTTGCCGCGTCGATAAGGATTCAATCCTTCCAGCCCCCTAATTAAAGACCGCTCCTTAATAAATGGTGCATTAATTAATTGTCTATTAATCCTAATTACCTAGGATTTGCGGCTAAGGATCAGCTAAATACGCTGTTGCACATGCTCTAATAATCATTATAAATCCAATTCTCACTAACACCCCATAAAGTGTTTTTATTGAAACATGTCAAAATCAGATTAAGTGAAGTATTCTAGGTTACTTTGTCTTATAACTTTTTTAAAAAAATTATTTATTAAAAAGTAAATCTAGTTATTTATAAGAAAACAATAAGATTACTTTTACATTTTTATTTTATTTAGGCTTTTAAAAGGGGGAAAATACTTATTTAATAAATAGTTTTTGAATTAAAAAATCTACTGCATCTTATATATTAAAACAGAAGTCATGACTTGACTTCATGTGTGATTTTTTAAAAAATAGACTATTACTAGAAAGTTATGTTACATTAACTCTCTAATAATTTTATCATTATTATATCTTATGAAAAATCATATCTATAATAACAAAAATATGCTTAACAATTTGGTTTTGGTAAATTACCCCACACCTTCCAACTTAGTCACACAAAATATGTCAATAGATATAAGTTTAGAAATCTTCTATTATTTATAAGGAAATATGTCAATAATAGTTAAATGCATCCACAATGTATTAACAAAAATCACAGATTAGTAATATGGAATATTTATATACCCTAACAAAATTTACACGCTATATATATTAGAAAAAGTTATTTCGATGTAAATTTTTAAAAAAAAAAAATTAAAAAGAAATTGTTTAAAAAATTCCTTTTTAATAAAATTCATTATAATATTAATTTATGAAGTTATAAGTTTAGTTTATAGCAAAAATATCTTCGAAGTTTGTATTATCTTTGCAAATTAAAGTACACTAATATTTAATCAAGCTGTATTTATATTACTTTATCTAAAAATGAAATACTAATCTAACAAACAATAAAATATAGAAGAAACAAACACATGTATAATATAGAAAATTTGAAACAATCTATTTGATTAAAACACTTATTATATAATATTATTATGTTTGAAAAACATTTACTATACATATCGTAAATATATGATTACTATAATATATATCAATTTAAAAGTGAAAATAAAATTTTTATATAACTAACTATAAACGAAAACAAATACCCGCGCGGTTGCGCGGGTCAAAATCTAGTTTATATTCTAAAATATATAACATGATTGTTTGTGTGTTTATTTTGTAAGTGAAAAACGATTGTGTTTATTTTATAAGTGAAAAAAAGTGAAGTTTGTAAAAGTTTGGTTGAAAAGAAAAGGGAGGGAAGGAAGACAGTTACCAATACAGAGAGGAATATATATATATATATATATATTAAAATATGTCGGTCAAGTAATAACCTAACCCTACGTACCAGTCGGCGGCAAAAATTCGCACCCCAAAACCCTAATGAACCAGGCCTGAAACTCTCTCGCTCGCTCGCTTGCTCGCTCTCTCGCTCGCTTGCTCTCTCGCTCTCTCTCGCTCGCTCTCTCTGTCTCTCTCTCTTACCTTCCTTCCATGGCATCGCAGTTTACCGGAGCAGCGCTGAAAAGGCACAGGCCCCAGGAAAAAGTCAATAGGAGACTGAATAAGAAGAAGTGTGAACGGTCTATTTCGAATACTCCAACAGGTATCTTAGATCTTGGCTATTCTGCAATTGTTTTCAGATTTTGTTTGAAACTCAAATAAGTATTCTTAGCACTAGATACAATCTCACGTCCCTTGTCTCCAATTAAAGGGGCTGATCTGGAATGCCTCGGAGGCACAGAGCAGGAGAAGATTGATGATAATCACAGTGAGGAAGAAGATTCTGAGTGTTCTGAAACAGACGAGGAGAATGAGTTGCGTACCAATGGCCAACAATCTTCTGTAGTTTCTTCTTCATCTACCAGTGCATTTAGTGAGCACCTTGGTCATACATTATTAAGTGAAGAAGTGGAAACTTTACTAAAACAGGCATGGAGCTTTAAATGGAAAGCACCTGCCATTGGCATGCCAAATTGCACCTGGAAAGGAACTAGACCAAATTTTCTTCATGTATGCCTTCTCTAGCACAAAAGTGTTGTTGCAGAGTTCGCCTTCCTAAACAAAAAACGGATTTTTTTTATTTGCAGGTTGCTCAGAGTGATGCAACCTACGGCATCAAGCCTAAGTTATTTGAGCACTGGCATCAATTGTACGAGGAAGCTGGAGGGGGAGAGTTTGGCTCATCTGCAAGGAGAAGATTCTTCTCCATTTGTACGTATCGGTTTCTTGCAATCAACCTTGTTCTTTTCTTCTTCTTTTTTTCGACTAAATATTATTTCATTTTTTTTCTAGGCAACAGCTATATGGATATTTTGCATTCTAACAAGAAACCCTTTTACAATGGATACCGTGGAGAAGACTCTAGTCACGTTGACGCATACCTTATGCATTCTGTACGTGCATATTTGCACTCCTTCTAATTTCTAAGATATGTATATTTTTTTGAGGTTCAATGTTGCTTGCTTAGCATATCTCCAAGATTTGTTGAAGTCAGAGTTTGTCGTATGCAGTTGAATCACATTTTTAGATCTAGAGATCTTGTCAAGAAGAATGAAAGGAAAATTTCCAAGCTTTGTCATGGTGAAACTCCTGATGATAGATTTCGGGACAGAGCATTTACTAGTCCAAAGGTGCTTGACCCCACCCCTTTTATGTTTTAATCTGTCATTTGACAATTCGTCCTATGTTTATCGTATGCATATCCAGGTGCTGATTCTATTACCACAGAGGAGTATTGCCTTTCGAGTTGTCAATAGGCTCATACAACTAACTCCCGAAGCTCACAGGGTATAAACAAACTTGTGATATTTCATTCATTTATTTTTCTGCATTGATATTGTCTCGGTTGCTGATTATGCCTATTTTATCTTGTAATATCATTCAATGGTGTCAGGATACTGTGGAACACCACTGCCGGTTTAATGATGAGTTTGGATGTGAAGAGGAATCTGATGACGATGATGGAAAGCCTTCAAAACCTCGAGATTGGGAAGCCCTATTTGGTGAAGGGAACAATGATGATACCTTTGTGCTAGGCATTAAGTATACAAGGTATCTATCTTATTTAGAACATGGCAGTGCATGCTTCCTGTTTGTGATTGATTTGGTAGGTGGCTGAGACTTGAATCCTCTGGTCTCTTCCAGGAAGAGCATTAGGCTTTACAATGATTTCATTACCTCGGACATGATTATTGCTTCCCCTCTCGGCTTAGTTTTGGTAGGTACTCTTTGATACCTATCTTTCTCTGCAAGATGATGATTTTGTTGTGCTGCACTCAGCCTCTTATCAATTTTACTCTTTCTAGGCCTTGGGCAAAAAAAAAGAAGCAGAAGACAATAAGAAAGCGGTTCTTGATTATCTGTCCTCCATCGAGGTAACTTTTTTTATCATTGGTAGAAGATGTATATTTTATATTTAGAGTTGTATTCTGCTTCTCCTCATTGAACTAGATACTAATGTTTTTTTCAATTACATGTGGATAGGTTTTTGTTATCGATCATGCGGACGTAATGTATATGCAGGTAGGTTGTGGGAGTGAATTTGCAAAGATGGCTGTATTTTTACTTCAACTCTTGAAATTCACTTTTTTATCATGATTCAGAACTGGACGCACGTTCAAACAGTTGTCACAATATTAAATGAAAAGTCATCTGCGCATCATAATACTGATATAAATCGTGTCCGGCCTATGTACGTACTTGTTATTTTTAGTACCTCGTCTGTGTCCAATTTTAGTGCTCAACAATGTCAGAATCTGTCATTAAATTTTTGTCTTATGTTTAGGTATCGTGATGGATATGCACGGTTCTATCGGCAGTCTATAATTCTAAGTTCTTATTTAACCCCAGGTGCATTTATGGCTAAGTTATTGTTAGGTTTCTAAACTTTTACTAACCCGAAGAATATATTTTATTTCATTTCAGATATCAATTCTCTATTCAATCACCAATGCGTGAACTATAAAGGAAAGGTGATTCTTTTTTTCCTTTCAGATACCTTTCTATATATGTTATTCAGTTACCTCTATATAAGGTTCATGCCTTCGCGGGTATCTTTTGGGTAGAGACTGCTACTATGATTTTAACTGAACTATATATATATTATGTCTTCTCTAAACCAAGATTTGGCATATTTAAAATTGTCCAATCTCACTTCCATATTAATCGTTGCAGATGAAGCTGGAGTGTGAATACAAAGGTGTTCGTCATGAAGTGCTGCACAGTGTCACGCAGGTATAATCCCATTTTGGTAATAAACATGAAAGTTGTAGACATCTTAACTCTTTTTTCTGCGCCCATGTTGCAGATTTATGAAAAATTTGATGCAGACTCCGTAAAACAAGCTGACTATGCACGTCTTGAATACTTCACCAAAAAGGTCTCTGTTTTTTATTTGTTTATTAAATAACATTTTCTTGGGTCACTCACAGATTATACTTCAAATTATTACAGTATTTGCTGACTCTGTCCTTCTTTTTGTCACAGATATTCCCAAGGATAAAAGATTCTGTTCAGGTACTCCCGTCATTTAAAGGCTGAATTATTTTGATGTTCTTACTTTAAGTTGACATTAGGAAAAAAAAACATTAGAATGGAGTTTCAATGGACAACGACAGAATTGGTCAGTCTAAAAGACCCTATTATTAATTTATGAGTTTGATTGTCTTATGTTTTTTTTTAAATCCTGTTTGTAGGGAGGAGTAATGATCTTTATGAGTTCTAACGCCGAGTTGACCATGCTTAGAAAGTTTTTGAGCTCCCAGAAAGCCTCTTTCTGCATTGTTAATGAGTGAGACCATTTCTTTCCTAACCCCTCTTTATATTTTGAAGTTACTGTTTTGTTGTTAAACTGGCTTTCGTTTCACTGGTAGTTAATCATGACTCTCGTTTTCAGATCTGTAAGTCAAAAGGCTAAATCTAGGGCACGACAAGGGTTTTTTGCAGGGAGCACGAAGATCATGCTCTACAATGAGAGAGGACACTTCTATTGGAGATACACGGTTTTTTTCCTTCTTCTTCTCTGATTAGGTTCTATGGTTCAATTACTATTCTGATCAATGTCGGCTTTTTCTTGGGTTTCAGATCCGTGGCATAAAGAACTTGATTATATACTCTCTTCCGGAGCGGAAGGAGTTTTACCCTCAGGTAAGAGCATCTTAAATGCGACACAAGGCATCAATATCAGAAGAATCAGATACTGGGATCTCATACATTGTAAGCTTTAACTGCAGATCTTGAACATGCTTGAAGAGTCCTATGACATGGAGGCCACTGTGCTTTTTTGTCCTTTTGATGTGTTCCGGGTAATTCTCATTTTCAATCTAATGATGTTTTTTTACACACTTGAGAGCCATTTTCTGTCCTAGTCATTTTCTGTCCTCCATGAATTCTCAAATAATAATACTATTTCCAAGGATATAGTTCTTCACCTAGGAATAAATATTAGAGAGTAATAATAAGCTTAGAGATCAGTCACTGAGGAATATTCTAGCTGCAAATGATGTCATTTTATGTCTTGAATAAGAGTTACCGTTCTCAGTAGCACCAGTGTGTAGTAAGTGTTGTTATTTGGATCCCATGTGGATTATTTGCAGCTGCAAAGGATCGTTGGGCATGCTTCAGCAAAGTCACTTCTCAGCTCTCAGCAGAGGACCTTTATTTCCAGTTGACACTCATCCTCCGCTTCTTTTATTGTATTTTTTTTTCATTTTGAATTACGTCTCTACGCATGATTGATTGGTACTGTAAAAGAAAATGTTGCTTTGTATTTTGACATAAATACACTTGAAAATACTATTAGAAACATCATACTTTATGCATGGAACATACTTTTTAGTAAAAATTCTAAAAACGCCTTCTAAGTTTTAACTGTTCAAATTAAAAAGTTGATGAATAAAGTACATTGTTTTTCTTTAACACTGAAGATTTCATTGATAACCAGTGTTTTGAAATCCGACCCAGATCTGCGGTTGAACCTGTAAATTTGGTGACCCAAAATAATTTTGGTTCGGGTTTTATTAAAAACTCAGTAAAAACCCGTAAAAACCCACTAAAACCCAAAATCCGATGTCAATTGGACCACTAGTTGAACCAATAAATAAACTTTTAGTTTTTTTTTAGTTTTAAATTATGTTTTTATTCTATTTTATATTCTAAATTTCTAATTTAAAAGTTAGGTTTTTATGTTTTCGTTATTGGCATTGTCGTCTTTTTCTTTAAATTTAGATTAAACTTTCTGAATTTTTATCATACATAATACCTACCACACTATTTTATTTGTGATTTTTAGATTTTGATAAAGATTTCACTATACCACCTCAAGAAAATGAATTGAAGGGTGGTAGCGAGAACCAAAATTAGTTGATCTGATTTGGTGTTAGTTTATTTTTGTTATTGATAATTTATTACAATGATGTTTTTTTTTTAGATTTTAAGTTTAGTTTATTATTCTCATTAAACATTTAAATATTTATGAATTTTATATCTTGATTTTTTTAGATGTTATTACTCTTAACTTGTTATAAAAAAATTAAATGGTCCAAACTAGTTTTTGATATTTTGTATATTTATACATTTTATTTTTTTTAAAAATTTAGAAAATATTTAACTTTAGTTTCTATATTTTTATTTACATAGCTAATATATTATTATATAATAAAGTTTCATTTATTAACCCGCGGTCGACCCAATGACCCGGTAAATCGTCCGGGTCGGGTTTAAAACATTGTTGATAACCATAGCGGATACATTGTTGGGATTTTAAAACCTTCACGAACTATATAAAATCTTATGCAGACAAATATTATCATAATCAAAGGATTCTTTAAAGCTAAAAGCGGAACATATAAACAATCGACCAGACAATACATTTTTACAAGATGCAAAACTTATCAAAGATTCTAGAGTACTGTAGCCAGGACTGTTTAATTGGTCGTCTATTGTGGAGAGAGTCTATCTATCGAGGATGTCGTACATGTGAACTGTACATCGATAAGTGTTTTGGGAAGAACTTCATAGTGGAATCCTTATCTGTGGAGTTGTTCATCAATATCATAGGCTGGTCATCATATGTAATAAATGAAATTATATGAAGATTTGATTGGTGATTTGCCCAGTGTTAAGTTATATGATAATGTGATTGATAATTTACCCAGTGATAAAAAACAGTGGACAAGAGAAATTAGAAAGGTAAAATCTAAATCAAACACAAGACACTCTAGAAAGTGAACCCATCACTAAAGGGAAGATTGGAGAGATGCATCGACTGCTGTTATCTGAAAAAAACGGAGATCGCACCTCATTATATTCCTCCGGGAACACACCATAATCCACAATGAAGAAACTGAAGAACCTATCCTAGAGAGATGAAGAGACAAACCATTTAACATTCGATCTCTCACGAAACGAAGCAGATAGGGATAAGAGCATAAATCCCTCTTCCTTGAAATCAAGCCGGAGAATCCCAGCCCAAACTAAAAGAAAACCAACACCAAAATAGTCTATTATGTTGCTACGAACCAAGGAAAAACATCACTTCCAGACTACGACATGAACACCACCAGAAGCAAAAGAAGAAACACATAAGTAAAGCAAAATCAAAAGAAAATCAACAGCAAGGAGAGTAAATCTATAAACACGCCAATGGAAACCCTGGAAGCCGAAGCACAGACGAGGCAGAGCAACCACATCTCACAGAAAATTACACTTGGATATACTATTAGAAAGAGCATTTACACAATGAAATAGTTATGCATGGGACATACTTTCTTCTAATGAAAAGCTTAAAACAATTTTTAACGATTTAAGAACTGTGGATCAGTAAATTATCTTATTTATTTTTTCACCTCGTAATATCAAATCCAAAAATCTAATCCCAGAAGATTCTTTGAAAGGAAACAGCTAAAATCGTTGACATCTAATAATTGGGAGAAATTTTTCCATGTATTATGAGAGTGGATTCATATATCGTGATTGGTAGACAGTAGACAAATAGAAAGACATAACTTGTTTTGCGGAAGATTTTTTTTTGTAGAAACTTTCCGAAATTTGTTTTAAGGAAGATTGTTTCGTAAAATCGTACTATTTTTGGAATTTGTTTTTCCGAAAACATTTTTCTAAATAACTCTTGTTTGGACGGAAATCTCTTTACTTCTTTTTAGGATGAAATATGCGGATTTTGTTCTATGTATATTTTTTGCAAATACATTCTCAATTAAATCGTTCTTCAATCGTTTGTGTATCCTTTGGTCGCGAAGTACACTCCGAATGGCAAGCATATTACTGAGATTTGAACGCATGTTTGTAGAGAACGATAAATCTACCTCTGAACTTCTGCTTGTTTCTCCTTCTACGAACATAGATGTATCGTATTGAGTGTATCCATCACGTTCGTCTTCTACAATCCTATTGAGTAGTATGATACATACTCTGATAATGTTGCTGATTTTTCCTTGTCCCAAAGAAGAGCTGGGTTTCTAACAATTGCAAAACAAGCTTGCAAGACTCCAAAAGTACACTCGACATCTTTTCTTGCGGCTTCTTGACGTTGTGCAAATAACTCCACCTTTAGGACCTTGGGGAATAAAGATGGATTGGATTTTGGATAAATACCGTCGGAGAGGTAGTAGGCCCTACGGCATTTGTGACCGTTGACGATGAACTCAACTTTTGGAGTTCGACCTTGTAAAATATCATCAAAAACCGGTGACCGATCAAGGACATTAATATCGTTCAAGGTACCTGGTGGTCCAAAAAACGTGTGCCATATCCATAAATCTTGCGATGCTACAGACTCTAGTACAATGGTTGGCTTGCTAGAACCACGACAGTACTGGCCTTTCCAAGAGTGTGAACAATTTTTCAACTCCCAATGCATACAGTCAATGGTTCCTATCATCCCAGGGAAACCGTGTACCTCTCCGATATCAAGTAGTCGTTGAAGATCCTATGGTGTGGGACTTCTTAGATACTCCTCTCCATATAAATGTATGATGGCTTCAGTAATTTTTTCCAAACACAACAAGGCTGTGGTATCACCCATGCGAAGATATTCGTCAACCATGTCACCCGCACAACCATAAGCTAACATACGAATTCATGCAGTACACTTTTGTAGTGGAAATAGCCCGTACCGTCCTACTGCATCTCTTCTATGTTGAAAATAAGGAATTTCATTGGAGAGGCGATCAACAATACCCGTGAATAATGACTGGTCCATTCGGAAGCGACGCCTAAAATAGTGAGACGGATACGTCGGTTCCGCACTGGAATAGTCGTTCCATAAACGGCTCTGCCCTTCGTCACGGTTTCTTTCTATATATGCTCGTCTTGTTGGCCATGCAGATTGATTCTCAGTAATTTTGTTGTACATTACTTCTAATTGTTGTTCAAAGTAAGCTTCAAAAGTTTTTTCTAAATTTTCTTCTTCGTCATTGGATGAAGATGACATGTTTGGGAAATGAAATATACACCTGCATAATTTCAAAAATTAAATAATGAAATAGATTGAATCACGTAACACATAATTACTTTGTCTTAATATTGACACATTTCAGTTGACATGTATAACATAACTATATTTTATCAGATAAGTAAATGCGTATACATTAACAATATCCTAAACACTTATAATGAAGTAACCAGAAACATAAAAATTAAATTTTTTTTTGTTTATAATTTTTTACATTGATCTTTCAATGTTTTATCTAATTGTATTCATGTTCAAACTAATTATGTAGTTAGATTTCTTAAAGAAGATTACGTAAAGAGAGAGATAGAGAGATCAAACGAAAGCTTCTATTTGTTCTTGTCAAGAGCAACCCATGATAATTACCTAAACCCGTGAGAGCAAACGAAAGCTTGTGTTGATTCTTGTCAAGTGAGAAAGAAAGTTAAATAATAAGCAAACAAGTGAGCAAGAAAGAGAGACAATCTGTGAGAGCAAACAAAAGCTTGTTGTTGTTTTCTTTATGGTCATGCAACAAGTGAAAGATAGAGAGACAATATGTTATGAAACGTAGAGCAAACGTAGAGCATACACCATTATAAGTAGACATAAGTTCTGAGTACAACAGAACATAACAAGTTCACGTGAATTAAAACAACAAAGATATAGGTTCACAATACAACAGCAAGCAAACAAATAGATAGGTTCCCATGTCATAAAACTACAAAAGCTAGCAAACAGATACGTCTCCGCTCTCCTCTCTGCTCCCATGAACTTCTATTACACCTGTAACATAAGAAATCAAACGAGTTAGCTAATTACAAAAAAAAGTGAACAAATGACTTATGTTTAAACACGTGAACTACGTCAACCTAGTAACCATCTGGAAAGACAACTAACTTATGTCAAATTACAACATTTCAGACATCAGTTTTAGTTTGAGGGATATCTCCATCTCAGAAAGAGAAGTTGCTGGTTTCTCAAGTAACTTCTCCAGCAACTTCTGCTTGTTGAGCTTCTCTTTCAACTCCAACACTATTTTTAACTCCGTGAAAAACTCATCTTGACCACCTTTCTTTTTCTTAGCCGATTTAGCAGCTTTGACACCAGAAGGCCTACAACCAGAGACTTCCTCTTCGCCTTCAACAGCACCAGCAACTGTCTTCTGCTTCTCTTTATGACCAGCTTGATAAATAGAGCACCATTTTTGGTCATGTCTGAGCTCTCTCCAAGCATGGTCAAGCGTAAACTTACATCCGTAGTTATTGGAGAATATTTCAAGTGCTTTCTTCATCACATCAT